CTGTGATCAAAAAGTTCCGATCAAGAAACAAATTTCTGTTTTCTTATTAGATCTCCTTTTTCATACTTGCCGATCTACATTTTTCCCAACCTTCTCATTGTTTGGCTTCTAGATTTCGTTTACAGACATCCATTCATTTCTCCACAATCTCAAGAGACTCACTGGGAAGCAAGAAGGCTAAAGGAATCATGAATTCGAGCTATGGAAATCGAAACAACAAAACCGACGCCTTCGATTTCGATCTCGGGCTGGGCTCGGGCCGCGCCAAACCCATGAATGGTCAGAAAAGCCATACGACACCGACGTATTCATCAGGTACGTACGCCCAGCAAAGACCGAACACGACGTCGTCCTGGAGCCACCAACCCAACAAGCCGGCCTGGACCCATCAGCCTGCAGCTCCGATCCAATCCACCGGGCTGGGATCCTTATCCGGGCCGACATCTATGGTGGGGGATATTTTCGGGAAGAGCTGGAACTCCTCTGCGTCATCGAGTTCGAGCGCCTCGGGTATCGGGATTGTGAACAATAAGAACCCTAATCTGTTTGGAGATCTGCTTAGCTCAGCAATTGGCCAGAACAAGAGTAGCAACACTGCCCCTCTGAAAAGCTCTGGTAATGCCGCAAGCCAGAACACATTCCAAATGGGATCTATGGCCAATTCATTGCCAAAAACTGGTAATTCAGGTAATGATGGCAAAACTTGGGGATCCAATGTCGGTAGTATTGGTGGAAATGTGAATTTGGGTGGGAATTATAACAAAAGTTCAAGTCTTGGTGGTGGCAATGTGAATTTGGGTGCAAACAGCACTATAAAACCGAATCTTGGAGGTCCGTCGATGAATAATACGACGGGAAGTGGAATAGAAGGCATGGGGATGGGTTCTAATAAGGACCCATTTGGGTCTCTGCTTGGTTTCGGGTCCAAACCCTCTGCTGGTATGAGCTCAGCTAGTAAAGCTAGCACCAGGAGTGATCTGGGAGCCGATTCTTTTGGGGATTTTCAAAGCACCGCTTCGAAGGCGAGTGGATCTTCATTTCAGTCTTTTCCATCGGGTGACAGTGATCCACTGGGTGATTTTAGGTTTTCTAATAATTTATCCAAAAATCAAACTCAGCCTCCTAAACAATCCTCGGGAGCAAATGATTTTGATGCACTTTTCTCTTCAAATGAAGGATTTGCACCCCAGCAGGTCTCGGGGGATGATGACTGGGGAGTGAATTCGGAGTTTGTTGGGGGAAATGATACAACCACCGAACTTGAGGGCCTTCCACCGCCACCTGCGGGTGTTTCGGCCTTTGCTGCCAAAAGTAAGGGTATGGATAATTACAAGCAGGGCCAGTTTGCAGATGCTATTAAATGGTTGTCTTGGGCTGTTATTCTGCTCGAGAAGGCCGGTGATGATGATGGCACAACGGAGGTTTTGACCAGTCGAGCATCGTGCTATAAGGAAGTTGGGGAGTATAAGAAGGCTGTGGCTGACTGTACTAAGGTAAATTTCATTTGTTTTACACGTCGTTTTTTTTTCTGATTATGTAATTCGTGAGTCATTGCCGTGTGATGAAATTTCACATTCAGATCAGGCTGGAAAGTTGATTTCGATGGCATAATCTGTGTAATGTATTTTCATAGTTAATGAGGTAGCACCTATAATGCTGCAGCAAATGCGTAATTGTTGCTATATGGATGAATTGCGAGTTTTTAATTTAAGGAATAAAAATATGGGAATGCTTTGTGTTGACAGGAGGTTTTGTCAACAAGATTACGAAGTAGTAATATGCTATACAGGGGTCGCTATTAGTGTTTTAAAGTAAATAAAGATGGATATAAAAACAGGAAAGGAAATAGGAAGAACAAGAAAGTCTTCGAATAGGTACTTGCGTTGATACGCTTGCATCGGGATTTATTGAGGAATTTGAGGCGCTATATGATCTTTTTATTACAGAGGCCTATGAAGGCCATTGAACTAGAGTATTTGCGAAAATTTCTCATGTAGTATTTCATGGGTTTTTCCTCTATTCTTCTACTTTTTTCTTGCTGCTACCGGGAGCTGGGGCTTTCTATTTATAGAAGGGGAGGGACATTAAAGTATACTATATCTGGGACACACGGCGGACTCTAGTATATAGTACTAGAACTGATGAAATATGTTCTATATTACTAGGTGCTGTTATGGGGAAGAATACTTACTGAATTCTAAATGAACACTTAGGGTAGCACTTTTTCTTGTTTGCTGCTTCTGTCAAGTCACCATTGAGGAATAACACGATGAAGTTCTGTTACCTTTGATTTTTTAGTTTATCATACATGAAAAGGTGGAGTGTGTTATCAAACTTAAATTCTCGACTGTGATGCATTTAAGAAGCTTGTCCATTGCAAATGGAGCTGGAAGAGTCATTGTTGACAATTCTCCTGGCATATTACTAATAATGGACTAGATCAAAATGGCTCAATTAAATTCTAGTGCTTCTTCTATTAGTGAAGTTTCTAGAAAAAATATATATCAAACGACGCAATACACTTCGGGTCGTTACGGAAACAGCTTCCTTGTAATTTCTCCTTGTATAATTACAAGGGTAAGGTCTGCGTACAACTGACCCCCCAGACCCCAACCAGTTGGGAATATACTGGGTATGTTGTTGTTGTTGTTGTTGTTGTTGTTGTTGATGCATTTAAGAAGCATGAAATTGGTCGTTACTACGTTTAAAAAAAATAATTAAATAAAAACCTATTGAGGTTTCTGTTCTGTTAATATGGTGTAATTTCTAAAATATCTAAGAACAAGTAAACACCATTTTAATTGTCTAATATGAACATCTTATATGGGTAAAGTGTTTGATTGTTTTAGTGTGATTTTCATATAGGCCTTGTTTGGTAATCAACTGTTAGCTGTTAGCTGTTAGCGGATTGAATTAGCTGTTTTGACCAGCGGATTGTATTAGCTGTTTTGACCAGCTTATTGTGTTGGCGGTTTGTAAAAAAGTGTTTGGTAAAATTAGCGGTTTGTAAAAAAGTGTTTTTCAATTAATATATTCATGTTTAATGTAGTTATATGTTATAAGTTAAAAAATTATTATAATATAATACATGTAAGTCGCACAAGTAACAAATACTATTCTAATAATTTATTGAAATATATTTTCAAACTTTTTTTTTGTTTTTTATGTAGCATAAGAAACAACTAATGATTCTTGAGTCTAAAATAAATGTAAATGTGTGTGGTGACGTGAGCCATCATTATTTTATTTCTTTTTCCTTTCCAATTTGTGTCTGCTATCAAATAAAGTGAGCCATCATTATTTTATTTATTTTTTCTTTCCAATTTGTGCCTGCTATAAAATAAAAGCAAAGAAGTTAGACATTTTCCCCAAAAAGCTATTCGGAAACGCTGCATATTACAGCGTTTCGGATTTTGGCGGTTTGTTGAAAAAAGCTATTTGGAAAGCCATTTTACCAAACAGTATATTTAGCTGTTTGCTTTGGTCAAACCGCTAAACTTAGGTGAAAACGCTAAAAGCTAAACAAAAAGTTGTTTAACAAACACAGCCATAGTTAGTTTTTAAGCGTTTCATATGGATATCCATCTTTAACCCTCACAAATCACAACTAGGCACTTGAAGCGGGTCTGTAAGTTGTCTACTCCAATGAATGCGATGAGTCGTACATAGAATAACCCTTTACAAGTGTAAAAACTTTCTACAGGATCAGAATTGATACCATATTACTATTGTATTATCTTTCTTTTTTCTTTTTTTTTTTTTTTTNNNNCAACCGAAATGCCCCTGCATTGATAGAAGATTTTCTTCTACACATTCAAAGTCGGATTATCCCATGCAGGTTCTGGAACACGACGGTAAGAATGTGAGTGTGCTAGTGCAACGTGCTCTCCTTTATGAGAGCATGGAAAAATACAAGCTTGGGGCTGAAGACCTCAGAACTGTCATGAATATCGATCCCGGGAATAGAGTCGCACGAAGCACCATTCACCGCTTGAATAAAATGGCTGGATGAGGAAATGGGTCCTACCTAATAAGTATTTTCACAACTGTGTTTTTTGCTTCACTTACTTGATATTTTCTTTTTCCTCTCTTCTTTTGCTGTTTCTAAGTATTATTATACATATCTTTGTGCTTTACGTGCACAAGATAACACTTCACAAAGAGATTGTAAGGATATCTGTGCACAAGATAACACTTCACAAAGAGATTGTAAGGATATCTATATGTGGTATTTTGTCCATTTTGTTCCTTGAAAGTGTTGAGGACATGTTATAGTTTCATTTTGAGCCCCTTAAAGGGAACTTGTAATATCACCCTCTTTAAGTTCTTTTTGAAAATCTCGGTTTATATTGTTCTGATGGTTTTCTCCATCTCCAGGTAATGAGATTGTGAATTTTGAGATTTTTGCAAGTGTTTTCACTATACAGTTGATCTTGATCTAGACTAATTTGTATGCTTAAGCGGGTTGCATTAGTTGATACAAAACTTAACCCGTGTACCTTGAAGTTAATTAGGATTTTAATCTCCCTTCTCGTGAGCCTTTGTATAACTATAAAGAAAAACGAGTTGAGCTTCTTTATTTCTTTCTAAACAAGCCGAGCAAGATTAATCTTACACGAGTAAATACTTAATATATATTTGTTTGTAGCTTTCTTGTTTAACGAACATTAGTTCATTGTTTATTTCTCTCTAAAACAAATCCTTAAATTTCTTCTTCCCCTCTTTGCCATAACCCTTCCCAGTGCGACACTTGCCTCCTCTTGGTTGATTTGCGCCGCTCTCCGCAGAGAGAGCCACTGATACGGAAGTGGTAATTAATCCCGGTGAGTCCGAGAACGAGTCTATCGAAGACCACGTCTTATGGCTGGAGAACATGCTCGAGGAGCCACAAAGCTCGATTTATCAACCTTCATGCAAGCGAAATTGGCCGAGAGGATGTGGACCGAGGTCAAGAAGGCGCAAGGCCAAGCGAACTAAGAGGCAACACAAGCCGAGGACTAAGGAGATGAACTGTTGGTGCAAAGCTTGTGCGAGGAAGCGGCGTGCATGGAGAATGGAGGCTAAGAGAATGGGCGCGCGAGGGGTTGAGGATGGGTGGCGAGCGCGCGCGGGCGATTGCTATGGGACACTTGGCGAGTGTGGAGAGTGGTCGGGGGTGATGGCGAGCACGGATG